CCCCCTGTGGTTGGCCGTCCCCCAGCCTCGCCGTGCCGGGTCCGCTCGGAGCGAGCTCCCGGCGTGGCAGGCCCGAGGCCTGCGGGTGGGGAGGGGCGCGACTCTGGCTGCCCGAAATCGCACCCAGAATGGAGGGCCCTTTGCTAAAAGCCAAGCGGACACGCGCGGCAGCATCGCCCCCCTCGACCTCCTGAAACCTGCGCGCAGAGCTCGGTCTGGGAGAGGAACGGCCGAGTGGGTGCGTTGGCAGCTGCAATACGGCGTTTGCTTTACCCCTTCGCAGCGCAGCCACGTTACAGTAGTGGTTTGCGGTGTTTCTGCCACCTCCCTGCTTTCTCCCCTTTCTTTTTTCTTTCTTTCTTTCCTTTTTTTTTGGAGGGGGGGGAGGGATGGCTGCCTTCCTCTTCGTTAGCATTTATGCGTCTGCATCTTTTTTGCAGCCACTCTCCAGGCTGTTTCTGTTTGCCTTGTCTTTGCACAGAAACCCTTGTGCAATCTCATTGTTTTGACAAGGCTGCTCTTTCAGTGGCCTGTTCGTGGAGCAGGACTTGCCTGCTCAGAGCTGCGTGGGGGAGCCTTTCCTCTCGTTTAGGTACCAGCCTCGTTCCTCACCTCATCCAGGGCAGCCTCGCTGATTGCACAGCCGAGAAGCGGGTCAAGCACCGATGCTGTTAGCGGCGCAGGAGGCGGGTGGGCAGGGACACCACCCAAAACATGGATGTTTCTCTCCTTCCTCCCCCCTTGGTTTAAGAAGTCAAGTTTTGAACTTTGCCTGATTTCAAAAAGAGGTTGCACTTTGTGTATGTCAAGATACGACCCTCAGTGAATGATAGTAGAAAAATAGTGTTAGTATTTCAAATATTATTGTAGTCTATTTGTGTTTTAGTACTCTAATGCACACTTTAACTGCCAGTAGTAAAGTTACTTTCTTAAAGAATATGTATAAATACCCTATTCATTGTTTTCCACTCACCTTTTTTTTTTTTTTTTTTTTTAATAGTCGGACACAAAATGAAGGTCACCCAAAATGGTTCGTTCTGGGTGTTGGACAAGTCATAAAGGGCTTAGATATTGCTATGATGAATATGTGCCCTGGAGAGAAACGGAAGGTGACCATTCCTCCATCATTAGCATATGGACAGCAAGGCTATTAAAAAAAAACAAAAACAAAAACCAACACTTTATATCTTTTCTCTGTTTCAGCTACATTTTCAAATGAACATATAGTATTGTAAATGTCTGTAGGAACAGAGAGCAGACTTGCCAGAAATTTACAGCCTATACAAGCACTTTTTGTCTTACTCTGTTATATTATAATTCATGTTTAATTTCTATCATGTGAGTGCTACCTGCCTAACCTTTTAGTGAAATCCTGCATTTTCTGAGCAAAATGGAATGTAATCCACTGCATGCCACTGTATCAATTTAAGTAGAAATCATTTCTTTAAAAGACTGCTTACATTCTGGAGAGTTAAAGGACAAAGTCAGGACTATATAATAATTGCAATAATACAATGCACGATATGGGATTTGAATTTCTGATATTTAAAAGTGCTAAAAGTAAAAAAGTAGTTCTGGTCTTAGTCTTACGTGCTATTTCAGCACTTTAAAATTGTCTAACTTGGGTGTGGTAGTTTCCCTGAATAGGTAATTCCTGCTATATGCTTATAACTCTATAATGATTTTGTGTCAGAATATCATGTACTAGGTTCATGCTGGTTCATCATGCTACAATTCCATGGCAGCTAATGAAGGTTTCTAGTAGTGAGATTTACCCCTGAACATAAGCAAGTCTTGTAATAATAAGGCAAAACGCTTGGTACCAAACAGAAGTGTTCTTAAAATCTAATACTAGCTGTAACTATTTGTTCTAGGTGGGACTTGAAGAAAGTATTTTTTTCCTGCAACATTCTTGTCCTCTGTCTCAGCATATTCCTGCATGCTGGGGAAGATGCCTGCCTAACCTTGAATTAGAAAAGATGCATGTGGCTTTTTAGGTCTTTACATATCTTTTCTTGTTGGTATGTATATTCTTAAAAAACAACTCACACTGAATTCTTATCTTGTATCTTTCTTTCATAAGTAGTGTATAAACCATAAAATACATTCAGGTATATTTAAAACTTCTACACAGTTAAAGCTTGTAAGATTTAAATCTTTCAAACTCTGAAACCTAACACTTTCTTATAGGTATTTTAGGTGAGAAGTGCAAGTAATAGTTTTGTTTTACTTCTGCTTATAAACAAAATAGACTCTTCACGTGTTCTCCAGCTCAAAGGATGGGCACAAGTTCAAAAGTGCCTTCTGCCAAAGTTTTGAGGTTACAGTGTCATGCTCATGAGCTTTAGTTAAGGATTAAAAACAATTTGCATGTTTACATTTTAATTGTACACTGCATGATTTTTAGACACTTGTTTGGCTTGACTTTTACATCTTTTTAGTTTATTCCTATCTAAAGCCTGCCATAGTTTCTTTTCTGGGACAAGGGAAAATACCCACTAGTTCACCTTTTTGTAAATCTCTCAACTTGCATTCTGTTGCTTCTTTCTAACAGGTTGCATACTTCAAGCACTGTTTTGCATATATATTTTTTTTTACCATAGGTGTAATCTCATAGGAAATTTGTAAAAGCTGATATTATCTGCTTGACCCCTCAGGCAAGAAAAATACATACGAGCATCACTTTTCTACTTTAAAAGCAGATTGCAAATATTAAATAAAGGCGTATGTCTAAGCCCATCATGTGACAGTCAGTAAAATGGTCTAGACTTACTATTTTTTTGGGTCATGATACACAAATGCTTCTCGAAGTTGTACATACCTTAATTTAAAAAAGAATTGAATTGATACAAGCAATGTAATTTTGGCTCAAGCAAATATATTGTTTACAAATCTCTTTCAAAACTATTTTACGTAACACAGTGTCCTGATCAACCAATCCCATTTTCTGTTTTGCCAGAACCTAAAAAAAATCCTTCCCTGTAGCAACGTAATATATAAATTAGGGATTTAGATTGTCATTCTTTTACCAAATAGATCTGCATATTAACCCAAGATTGCATAGTAGAAAAATAAGGCACTTTATGTGCGCTTTTGTCATATGTGTGTTTTTTTTTTTTTTTTAAATACTTATAGCACAGGGCAAGATTCCACCGAATGCAACACTGATCTTTGAGATTGAACTTTACGCAGTAAATAAGGGACCACGCAGTGTTGAAGCATTTAATCAAATAGACAAGGACAAAGACAAGAAACTTTCTCAACTTGAGGTAATGTAACTAATTTAGAATAGGTCATATTCATAAACCATAAGCATAGTTAATTACTGTTATCTTTTCATGAGCTGCCACTGCTTCAGTTATCATATGAAAATGTTATCATGTAATCATATTATCATGTAAGTAAAGCTTTTGTATGCTCACATAGACTACACCGTGCCTTGTTGACATTTGCTTCAATAAGTTGGTACCTCTCAGACTTACTGGGAAACAAACCTCCATGTGTATGTAGCAGTCACAATAGCTCATCTTGGTATCATGGATGTGCTTGAAGGTAACTGCTGAGTGCCCTGGCCCAAAAGCCAAAATAGAGCAGAACTCAACACTAAAAACAACCCTGAGTATTTACTCAGTTTCTTAGACACAATTTGTCCTTGGTGTTCCTGAGAAACAGGATAGAGATGTCTGGACTCTTTCTGCTTCTGACAGTCTTTAAATTGCTGGAAAAATCATGGCACATTTTGCATGTAGGTTATTGCTCAGTACAAATTCAGAAAGTACCAGAAACTTTAGTGGTAACTACTACTTAAAACTACTGTTATCTTTGCTAATAAATGTTATACCCCCAAAATTTAAAGGTTTAACATTTTGAGGAGGTTTGACGGGATTTGCTGTGGAATTTGAAATAGTAGGATTTTTTTTAGAATATATAAAGTTAATTCGATTAGAAATATACTTACCTACCAATTTTGATGATACACATGGCAAATACTGTTTTTCTTTTATTTTAGATAAGCGAGTATTTGAAGGAAGAATTTGCAAGAGATGGCAAAAAGCGTCATCCCTCAGTCCACGATGAAATCTTAACTGATATATTCAAGAAGAATGACCATGATGGAGATGGTTTCATATCAGCAAAAGAGTACAATGTCTATCAGCATGATGAACTCTAAGTGCTTACAAAATCTGTTTTTTGGACATTCAATTTAAAAAATTTGCTAAATAATTCTTTGTCACAGATTTTTTTACATTTTTGTGGCATGTTTTTATATATCTTAAGGTGACTGTAAAAATCTTGGGTTTAACACTTTATAGTCAACTATGTGATTTTACAGCAGAAAAAAATAAAATTGTAAAACAGCCTGATCTATTATTAGTTTTTTTCACATCCTTATCTATAATATTGCTCAGTGGTCTTCCTCATAATACAAATCATTGATCAAAATAGTTATTTCTGTCCTAACAGTCTCAAAAAAAATTGTTCCCGGACTTGTTTACAGAAGTATTCATCAGTTCCACGTCCCCTGTAGACCAAACCAGGAAAACAGAATCTCAGGAAAGAAAATTTATTAAAACTCTGGAGAGTTGCTGCTGGCTTTTAGGTCAAGTTCTCTAGGAATTACTATTTACTACTTTGCAGATTTAGGCAGCAAATTTATCTGTTAGAAAGTTTAGAATATATGAATGCTATCTATATCCTTTGAAGAGAAAAGCAGGTTTTTAAAGGAACATAAAATAATCTCTGTGCTGTAATACAAAATTTAATATTTCAGTATTGAAATGATTTTTTTTCTAATTTTAAAATTAGACAATTCACTCTACAGCAAAAATTTTAAAATCTATGAGACTGTTTTATTTGAATGAGATTGAACATGAACAAAGATACTCTACATTCACTTGAGTACCTATCTGGGCATGATTCTGTTTTCTCTCACACTGGAAAAAATGCAAAGAACAATTACAGTCAGATAGTCTTTAAATTTCAAGTGAGAAAAGTGATAGCTGTGCTTATTTCAACATGTATTCGTTAGATGTACACAGTGAAGATGGCAGCACAAATAAAAAGGCTTGTCACAGCCTTTTATAAGATAATCATAAAGGTACGGGAAAGAAAAAAATTATTGTTTCTTCACCTAAAATTCACTTTAAAATTGCAGGGGAAGTGGCTGGACAACCTACCAATCCCTAGCACTCCTAAGGTGTATCTATGATGTTTGCATCTATTCTGCAGTGCCCTCTTGCGTGTATTTTCTGAACAACACAAACTTAAGTTTTTAAAATTGCGATCCCTGAACGTCTGAGTATGTAAGTCTGATACTTTTGTAAACATTTTCCACTAAAGAGTTTTCTGAAGACACAGAAGGCACAAAACTCAAAAGCAGATACGCTCTAAAATCCAAATGCCAAATGTGGACTGGCTGGTGCTATTTAGTAACCAAAACAAACTACTGATATGTGGTAATCACATCCTAATATGAAACTCCGATCTCCAGGCTTATTTATTCTCCTTTGTAAATGAAACGTTAGACTGAGCGAACCTTTTTAACATGTTTTTTAATCTGATACTTAAACATTCATGAGAACACTAAATTATTAACACGTTTTTCTCATTTTGCCATCATACACCAGTGTAGATAAAGGCGCAACATCTTTGGGTTTAAGAACCAGCTTATGTAAACATTTATAAATATGTTCTAGCATATAGTATGACATAAAATTTTGTTTAAAAGTCTATTTAATTATAATAAGGAAAAGAGAAATTGCTGAAAAGAAGTAAAATGTTAGGGAACGCACTGGGGCATTTCCAAGTAATTAAAGCCATTATTTATATTTGAGAAGCAAATCATTTGGAAATAACAGTAGTGTAATAAAATGTTTTACACATTTACTATTTTACATTTGAAGTTTTGAAAAAAAATGTGGCACATTTATGCCTATTTCTGCAACAACAGGCACTTACCTAGCTCAGTTACCTTATTCTCTTATGCCAGAGGTCAAAACAGGGCACAGCATGCAGTCGTACATACTTTTGTCCATTGAAAGAACACTCTAGGCACCCATAGACTGTCTCCCTTTTAGAACTTCCCATTCCACAAAGAATGCAGGGACCTTTAGGGATGTTGTTATTAAGTAAATTAATTCGGATATGCGTTCCTTCTCTGAGGTAGCTTGTAGAGAGATCAGTCATACTCGCAGCTTTTTCATAATAATCTGTAAAAAGGTCCTCCAAGTAAGTATCAGAGTGAGCAATGGTATCCACTGCTCTCTTATCTGAAAATGAAAACACAAACATAGAAACTGTTTGTCTTTATTAATTATTTACCAAACAATCTCATAACCTACTGGTAGATTTACAATCTGATTTATGAAAACATTATAAACTTTACACATTGAAGGTTACTTTCCATCAAAATCCTTGTGAAAATTTTCTTTTAACTTCACAAAAGTTAACTTCACTCTGAATTTTTGTATTACCTGTACAACCCTATTATCATTTTTAAAAGATAGGTATGATAGACAAGCTCTCAAAAAAATTGATGCTAAATTACAGCTGAGTACTTTCCTATTTTAATTTCTTTTTATTTTTTTCATTTTAAATTTTGTTTTTCCCAAATTACAGATTATGCTTATTTTGAGTACTTCAATGCTAATGCTTTATGCTTATTTTGAGTACTTTAGTTTGGAAATTTGGAAGTGTCCACATTCACCGTTTAATGGGGGTTTCTGAGCATGTAAAAACCATAGGAAAAAATCACTTCTCAACTACTTAATTTCCTCCTCTCTCTTCAAATACGAACTAGTTTAAATTAGGCAACAAAATTCGAGGAAGCTACTGCTAAGTGAAATGTGTTAAACCCTCGAAAGATCTTTCCCTTGGGGTAGATTGGAGCAGCACAGAAGGTTTTGACTATAAAGCCCCTGGGTTAAGAACTGGACAAATAGGAGCAAAGGCACTTAAACAGAGCATTCTTTTTAGGATTTATGTTCACTCTCCAGTTTGCAGCTTTCCACAATATTTAGACCAAGACGTATTCAAAAACAGGCTCTTGTTCTATATTGGTGAATAAACTCTAAACTTGATTGCCACAGTGTCACACACAACCTGCATGAAGTATAGTCCCATACCAGTGATCAAGACTGAGTTTTACTAGAACATGGTGTTCATGTCTCCTGAAGTGAGAAAAGAAAATTATGCTATCTTGCCCATTTCCTGCCAGGTGAAGATACACCCCAAAAAGCGTGTTCTAATACTTCATTAATATCATTTAATATATAAATCATTTAATATATACTTAATATATAAACTTAATCATAAAGTCTTGAGTCTTTGAATTTTAATGAGCAAAAAAGCCAAACATTTATTATATGTCAGACAATCTCAATATAACTTTCAAGAACCTTACAACCATTTAGGAAATTAGCTTGATTCAACATTAACTAAATAGTGAATCTTGCACACAAAATTAAACAAAAATACAGACTTCATGCATTAATCAAGACATTCAGTTATAACTATTAAATGTCATACTTCGATGAAACAGATTGCTCCTCAACATCCTTAATTTGGTGAGTGAAGATGACCCAGATTTCTCTTTTTCAAATCCTCCTTTTGAAATTGGAGTCACACAGAGTTCTGTAACAAGAAAAGTAAGTCTTTGGAAGGAATCTTTAGAAAATTTTACATGAAGTATAAAAATGCTAGTCGTATAACACAGCTTACCATAATATATTTTTCTATTTTATAATAGGTTTATAAAATTATAACATTTATAAAAAGCTTATATTTATGAATAGGAAGTTAGATACTGTGCATGCCAAAGGATACAGAGCTATTTGCAACTTCAAGACCATATAGTGTTGCATACATCTGAAGAAATAAAAACTATTTCCCAAATGATGTCTTACTGATTTTTCTATTAAAAACAGTGTTAATTATAGCATCAAGCAAGTTCTCTAAAAGTTGAGTGACTGCTACAGAGATCTCTGTATTAAAGTACATGTGAAGCTGGCTGTTAAAACTTTAGTAACATCGTGTAAATCAAAAGAGAGTTTTACATTTGATATGATTATGAAATTTAATTAAAAAAAGAATGTCTGCATTATTAAAATCATATTGCTAAAATTGAGTAATTAGTTACAGGCTAAGAAATACTGAAAAATAATGTGAATATATAAGGTCTATCCTTTCCACAGAAGAATAACTTACAGGAACTATGTAAAGTCATGCATTTATTTTGAGTAATTGAGGTTATTTGTTTGCAAATAACTTTAGATAACCAAATGCTGTAGCAATCTATCAGACTGAAGTTAAGGCCCTGACAGAAAACCTATTTGCTTGTTCTTATGAGCCAGGTCAGAAAGCGAGGAAATTATTTTTGTTCCATCCAACTGTGAGATTTATTTTTTAAGTTTATACTTACCTTTTAAAACTCTTTCCATGACAGACTGTTTTCCAATACATACATTGCTGATCTTTTCAAGTATTCTGTCCCTTATAAAGTCAGAATGCTTATGTTCATAAAATTAAGAAAAAAATATTGCATTTTATGGGATTGAGCTTTATGTACACCAAGATCAAGAAAATTGTTTTAAAACAAACTCAGGCTTCTATAAATAACAGCAGTAATTACAGTAATGCATGCCACTTACCAAAATTACCATCCAAATGAATAAAAAGTTCAAAAACACTAAATGCAATAGTTGTATGCGCAGGAAAAACAATGACTTTGTCCCGTCCTTTAGAATTTTGATCTTCAATAATGTGAAACTGTGATTTATAAAAGCATTAAAAGGAAAAAAAGTTTCAAATTGAAATAATAATAAATGGAAAACAAAACAATTGCAAATCAAATTTCACCATTAAAGAATTTCAGAGTAATAACTATGTAGTTAACAAAGTTTGCTATAGAGACAGTAATCTAACTTGCATCATGGTGATTGAGAATTATGTAAACGATTCATAAATACTAGAAATGGACAAACACACTGATAATGTGTGTATGCATAAGAGTATTTGCCAATTCCATGCCTTTACCTTCCCAGTGACCTCATTTCCGATAAACCTTAGCTCTCTGATCACTTGAATGAACCCCCACATTGTATCCCTTGCCTCCAACAACTCTGTCAGAGCCCCTGTATAGAAGGATACGTACCCAGTCCAAAGCCAACTAAAGACTAGGGGAACTTTTGAGAGCATATAAGACAGGGAACAAGATGCTGACCATTTAGTCATAACAAACCAAAGACAG